CCTCCCTTAGCTCCGGGGGGCTCTCAAGCCAGCCTTTAGTCTGACAGAGTGCTGAATTACTGTGTAGTGTGTACCCAGGCTCCCCTTCTGAGCCCTGCTGCTGTGGCTTGCAGAGTCAGCCCCACTGCAGCTCCTGGGTCTCAGCATGCATCTTGCCGGCTGCTGCTTCATTCTCTCTCTCTGAGCCAAGATTTTTCTTTGTGTGCAATCACAGCTCCCCCTCTGCTTCCTTCCTCTTTCTCCAGTAGCCTGCTGAGAGCAGTAGTTCCTGCCATGACAATACAGCCTATTACACCTATAAAATAGTGGGGAGGGCTCTTGAAAGCTGCTTGGGACCTTTGTGCTTCACCTTTTTCCATGGAAAACACATTACTTAATAGAAAAAGTATGTCTGCTTTCAGTGGGATTTTGGTTAGGTGTTTTATGACCTTACACCATCCCTTCTGATCTACTGTTGGGGAAGGTATGTCTCCCTTCAGTGGGATTTTGGTTAGGCGTTTTATGGCCTTACATCATCCCTTCTGATCTACTGTTATTTACAGCAACAAGGTTGATCAAACCCAGGAGAAGGGAGAACAGTTAACATAGTGTCTATATTTAAGAAGAGGAGGGGAAAAACACAGCTTAGGCTATCAACAGCTTTGATAGTACTCTGGGGTTTAGGAGGAAAGAATAATTAGCAACATGGAGATAAATGGAAAATGGGATAACATTCAACATGAATTTACCAAAAGTGGATTTTGCCAGGCTAGCTAGAGATCTTTCTTTGATAAGTTAACTGATTTTTTTTTTTAAACGCAAAGTGTATATGATAGACCTCATCTGTCTGGACCAAAGAAAAATGTTTGATATATGTAAAGCTGGAGAAGATAAGGATTAGTTTAAGAACTATAGGGCAAGTAAGGAACTGGCTAATGAGGAGACAGCAATAAATTGCATGGATCTATTAGGCTGGAATACGTTTACTAGTGGAGTTTCTTGTTGATTGACTTTGGGACTGATGATTTTCCTTGTCACCTGGGCACAAAGAGAATGTGCTGACCAGAAAGTTGATAATGAAAGGAAATTGGAGCTCTCATCAATTCAGAGAAGAACTGGAATGTTGTACAGGAAAACTGAATGACCTTGAGAACTGGAGTAATAGAAATGGGATAGAATTCAATAGTATAATGTGCAAATTGTGCAGTTTGAGAGAAACAGGTAGAATTTCTGTTATAAGCTGTGTTGGCTCATCAGTTAGAAACAGGAAAAGAAAGAGTACAGCCTTAGTATGTTATAAATCACAAATATAGCAAGACAGCTTATCTACTCTACTGCCATTCCCTTTTCTACTCAGACTGTTAGAAGATGTCTGCTAAATTATCATACTAGTTCTCCCATGGTTTCTGCTCCACTGTTGGAAGAAATACTCATACAGACAGGGCCTTGTATCTTGTGATCTAACTCTGCTTAGGGTAGGCCTGCAGAATAAATCATCAGCCCTGGTGGAGATGAACTGGGGATAGAAACGGTGAGACCAGATAGCAAAAATATCCTAATACAGGGGTAACAAACATCAGGCCTTCAGGCCAGATCCAACCCACAGAGCTACTCCGTCCAGCCTGCCAGGTTACCAACTGGCTATAGGAAGTTAGGGGCATGGCCAGACTTGGGCCGAACACTTCTTTTAGTTGACCCGGGTATAATGATCCTTTGAGCTCGGGAGTGAATGCGAGTGCTAGCCACATCTATTGTGTACCACACTAGCTCAGTGAAACTTCTAGGTTTAGTAAATTCATCCCTGGTATAAATGAACACAGTCCTTCTCTGACTTAAATGGCAATTGCTTCCATTTAAAGCCAGGAATTAATTGGGTTCAAATTAACAGAAATCTTTCTCATCACACTGAATCTGTTCCATCTCTAGGCATCCACACGTCAGTGATTTATTTTTGTTTTAATGAGGTGAACTTAGATGTAACACATGGTAAATGGTGTAAATAATATTGTCATTTATCTACATCATGTTACAATTGATAGCCCAAGATTATATTGTTGTATGTGCTTGAGGACCTGAAATAAAGATAACAACTTTGCTTGTTAACCCTCTTGAGCTACTATGATCATCTTCCTATACCAGATGATAACACTGCACTACCAGATCAGTGTCTGTGGTCATTTTCTATCCCTGCCAGTTGAACTAAAATGTCTATTGTGTGCCTGGAAGTCAGTAGGGGTTCTGTGTAAAATAATTAGTTAAACTGAAGTACAAGTTATGTCCACTTAATCAGAATTAGCATGGAAGGGGGTGTTTTCTGTGAACCATCTCGTTCAGCTCCTGTTTCTTGAGAGTTCACTGAGGATATGGAGCTCATTAGCTGGGAGCTAAGTCAGGCTGAGATGGAGGCAGGTGTATGATCTCCTCTTGGGATCTGTAGCCTTTCTCTGTACTGGGATATTTCTCCTAGTCTTACTCAGGGATCTGGAGCTATCTCAAGTTTGGAAGCATCCTGCATAATGGTCACAGTTGAACAATGCTGTAAGGTGGCATGGACCTCTCCATGGTAGCTCTTTGTGGTCTTTATGAAATTTTGTATGTTTACAAGCTTTGGGGGCTGTGGATTCTTGTAATCACATTCAGCTTCCAAATCTCCTTCACCAATAGGAAAATGCTGTGGAAATTCCTTGGGAAAAATATGTGGAATTGTCCTTCTTCCCAGGCTTCTGCTTAATAATAGTTGCACAGTAGAGAGCAATAAAGCGTCCATTAAGAATTTCAGGATTTAGTCTATATGTAGGTTCTTGTCTGATGGAGGAAGGTCTTATTGCCTTGGCCTAAATAGATATATATGAAATACCTTGTCCCTTTTTAGCTTTGAGATGATATACAGAGGATGAATAGCTGTGATGCTAACTGTTTCTAAGAAGTACATTTAGCTGACTTTGTATCAGTTTGTTAACGGTAAGCTTATTATTATGGGATCACTTTAAGCCCTTTTGATACTCTATAGCAGTGGTCTAAACCATTTTAGATTCCAGACACCCCTTGAATCTAAAAGCACGCCTTCTGGGAACCCTGCAGAAAATGCCAGCTCTTTGTTTTTGCTCATTTTTTGACTAAGAAAAATAATGGAGCAGTCCTTCTGTTTCAGAGAACTCAAAAGACCATAATAGGTCAAAATGTTTTAACATTATGGATTCCTGTTTGAAATCTATGGGTTTATCTTGAGTGCCATGGCACCCTGGTTTGGGAATCTCTGCTTTATAGATATATTTTATTAAAACGTTCCTTTTTCAAATATAAAAAACTAAACCAAAAGTTAAATTAATACCACATTGCATCCAGTTCAGGATTCAAACAATAGATTCCTCATCAAAATTTGAGATAAACTATAGATAGAGGACTTATTCATTAGATTTCCATGTGGTCACATACAAAATGCATACATACAATTTCGAACTAGTTATTAACAGGATAAAGTGCAATTAGAGTTGAGTTTAGTGCTGATTCTAGATAACTTTTTTTTTACTAAATTCCCTAGTACATGGTCCACTTTAGTGACTGAGAACTTGTGGATAACATGGTGCCATTCTTCTCATTATTTCCAACTGCTGAATTGCATTTAGGAGATGATATTTTTCTTATTATTGGTTTTCCATGTAAGAAATTGCTGTATTTGTTACAGAGATGTATTTGATCACTAGTAAGAGGGGATCTCATCTTGGTGATAATACAGGAGGAAAGCTTTCTACAAAACAGTTTGCCTTATTAAAATGCGGTCCAGGCTATGAATACATTTAAGAGCAGCTGTGCCCTGTATGTTTAAGCCCTATGACATTCTTCTTTCTTCAAGCATGTCAAAATATGAAGTATGCTTTAATGGTGTTTCAAAACCCTTTTTTATTGAGGATTATGTAAAATGATAAATACATGGTGAGTAGGAAGTACAATGTGAATGAACATATCCTAAAGTATTGTCAGTGCCGCCAAAGGCATATTCTCCTTATCTTTCTTATCCAGACACGATCACCAAGGGAACTGGTGAAGAAGTGTATAATGTTTGCTATGGTCTGGGACAGAAGTTTCATAAACTGGTTTCACCCAAATCAGTTTCACCCAGTATATGTTCAACAAGGTTTATTTTAAACCATTTAGTTTCAACCATTTTGAAATTGGTTTATGTGCACTGAAGTTCTGTTCTGTTACAGGTTTAAACCAGTTTCTGATCACTTAAACTGGTTTATGTGTAACTTCTGTCCCTAACCTTTATAACAGGAGCCATTTCTTGGGAAAAGTCTATACTTCTTCAGGATTATGCTACGGAGCACCATAGTGTGGCATGCCACACTATCTCACATGCGCTGTATCCCCAAACTGATGTAATGAAGCTATCTTAGTCCTGTGTGGGCAGTGCACCAGTAAGGTTTCGAGAGACCTGTTTGGCATGCTTCCAGTGCTACACTAGGGTGGCTATATTGCATTGGTCTTGGGACAGCAGGCACAATGTGGATATGGGGTAGAGTGAGATGCTTTACTGCAGCATTTTACTTGGTGTATTGCAGAGGCTGTGTAGACATGCTCCTAAATGTCTTCCAGTAAGTTTGGATAAGAGAAATAAGTCATGATAAGTAACAGCTGTCATAATTGTCACTATAACTTCCAGGCAAAAAGCAGGCTTTCTATCCTCTTTAAAAATTGCCAAAATTACTAAGGACCTGGTTTTGCACTTGCTCCAATTCCTATTGAGGTATGTACAAATTTTGTCACTGACACCAATAAAAGGATCAGACTCTTTAGGAAGTCATTAGTAGTGAAGGGCATGCCACATCTTTCAGGAAAGAGACCATAATAGCTTCCGTAAATAATAGTTTTTGAAACCATGTCCAAATTCTTTTCTCACTAAACATCTTACTGAATGGCTATTTCTCCGCTACAATTCTTACTAAGCTGAATATACACTTTATGTTGCTAGGTTCCTTTGTGTTTCTTGCTTTACTGATTTTAGCTATTTATTTTAACAGGGTGTTTAAAAAAACTCAAGGAACTCAATGTGAGTTTTAATAATTTGAAAAGTATCCCTCCAGAACTGGGAAACTGTGAGAATCTGGAAAAACTGGATTTATCTGGAAATCTAGAAATAATGGAGCTCCCATTTGAAGTAAGACTTCCAACTTTATTTCGTATAACTGGATTATTTGATCTGTAAGATATGTTTATTATATCACTGTAAGATTTTCTTACAGACTCTTAATGCACCAAAATACTATCACTTGCATAATTTAACAATACATTTTAGTAGCCATGGACCAGATTCAAAAGATGACTTCACTGACTCAGACAGGACTTAGGTGGACATGTTTGGTGCAGACAAAAGTGACAATTTTCACCTGGTCTGGCCACAGAAAGCAGTCTATAGCTGTGGCCACACAGCTGTTTGGCTGCAAACAGCTTTGAAATGGCTGATCAGGTGAAAATTTGACCCTTCATTACATGAGGTATCAGATAAAGACATTTCAAAATGTAGCATCTTCTGTAACTTGTGTCTGCAGAGCTCCTAGCCTGTCACTATTCTAAGAATGGGAGGGGAGAAAGGGAATGGAGGGAGTTTAGTTTGGGGGTTTTTCAGGCCCCCTGGAAGGTAGGGTGGGTGTATCGGAGACTCACCAAAGTGTGTGTGGGGGGTCTAATTCACCCACCTCACCCTTCAGCACCAGCTGGGGGGTCCCAAAAACAAGTTACCTCTGCTGTCTTCCTCCGCTGTCCCATTCTGAAAACAGCAAGAGCTAGCAGACAGTGTGCACCATTGCTATGGGAACCTGGCTGCAGGCTCCCAGCCCACAGCTGGATTCCCCTCTCCGCAGGAATCAACAGTGAACTTCTGTTTGGTCTGGGGTAACGTAAGTCAGAATGATTTGCAGAAATCATTCTGAATTACAGCTATAAGCTGCATTTGTATCTGTATACAAGATACCTCAAAATCGCTGTCTAGCAGCCTTTTAGTCTTGGAGTTGTCTAAACATCTTAGGGGCTCTCCTTTCTTACCTAAAAATTTCCTGAAAGCTAGGCACCTGGTCATACCTAAGCCTAGCCAGGGAAAAGAAACTAGCTCAAAACACTGGCTGAAGAGTCAGGATCCCATTTGCTTGCTTTTCTTCTCATCCCATAAATCTTGCATTTCTTTCTATATGGTGGTCCAGCTTCAACATGGGCTGCCAATAATACTTTATTGCGTAGTGGTTTGGGCAGATGTGAGATACGTAGGCTTGAATCCATAAAGTTGAGAAGAGAATTGAATCTAATCTCCCACTTTCTAGATGATTGCCGACCATTAGACGGTTGTATAAAATATAGAGATCATCACCATTTTTTCTGGCTGTATTTTAAAAGGTGTGAGCCCTGTTCAGTTCTTTGGGACAATAATTATTGGTGCTTATCAGGAGCAGGTTCTAGATTCTGGATCCCAGGTGGCCCAAGTCACCTCCCTGCAGCCCCAACAACACACTACACTCAGACCAGTGTAGATATGTATTTCCTTTTCACCAGTTCGAGGTAGCTTAATTGTGGTGAGTCTCTGTGTTGCCTGGACTTGCAAATACTGTCTTAAAGCAAAATCTCTTTTCAATATGTACAGCAGCAAGTAGCCAGGTTAACATCCAACTCAAGAGATATTGCTATTGCAGGTCCCAGTGTCTTTCCATGGACCACTACTGTATTTCTGAGGTGCCTAAATCCTTCCATGTCCTGTATGGGGAGATTAGGTCTCTAATTCAGGGTTTTGCTTCCACACTGGGGATCTAGTACCTGTGAGATGAGCATTACAGAACCTAAATCCCTTATTTGATCCAACCCAATGTCACTGCAATGGCTTAATAGTAGTAGAACAAGACCAAGGCTGAGTATCAGTTCTGAAGTAACCAAATCCTGCTCATGTGTGTCTAGTGCATAAAGGCAGGAAGCGTGCCAAAAGGGAATTTGCACAAAGTTGGTGGGAACTACATGCCCTGAAAATGGCTTAATAATAGAACAGGATTGAGCTGCCGAGTGTCAGTTTGCAAGTACTAAATGCTAGTCAGGCTCTGCGGTATAGAAAAGGGAAGTTGCCAAAATGGATTTTACATAATATTGATGGGAAGGAGAAGGTTGTAAGTGGATACTTGTCTTGGAGCAGAAGTGTTTGTTGACAACTGCATCCGAGTCATACCCTAATTTGTACCTCCCTCTCTATGGGATGCTGATTTGTTAGAAGAGGCATAGTGAGTTTCCAAACCATAAACAGTAGTGTGGCCATAAACAGATGTCTCCTGTTATACTACAGGATGAGGGCCCCCGCCACTCCATGGGTTTCAGGGGCCCAGTCTAGCGGGACAATTGTAAATGGGGGAACCTCTGGGGTGTCCTGAATCAGGGCATAACAGCATGCTACATGTATCTGAGCAGTCCTCTGCTGGAAGATTTCCAGGGCACATGTCTTCAGAGAAGGAACTCAGGGTTCCCCTTTTTGCAGAGATGCGTCCTGAGATGGGCACAGCAGCATTATCCACAAAAGGGTAGTCCTCTGCTAGTGGATTCTGGTGAGATGTGAACAGTGGGGTCCCCCAGGGATCCGTCCTCAGGCCCACACTGTTTAACATCTTCATCAGCGACTTGGATGAGGGAGTTTAAAGCACATTATCCAAGTTTGCTGATGACACTAAGATGTGGGCGAGGTGGGCATACTTGAAGGGAGAGAGAGGCTGCAACTAGATTTAGACAGACTACAAAAGTGGGCAGATGAAAATAGGATGGGGTTCAACATAGATAAATGCAGGGTGCTGCGCCTTGGGAGAAGGAATCCGCAGCATACATACAGGCTGGGGAGTTCCCCTCTTGAAAGCACAGAGGTGGAAAGGGCAGCAGGA